TTATCAAACAGGGCCTAATTTATTGAGACATATTTGAAGAAATAAGGAAATTAAGGAGGCAAATACAAATAATAAAAACTTATAAGAGTATTTGTAATTATTCAAAATATCATGGGCTAAAAACAAATACTAAAGAAGATTTGGACACTACCTTGAGAATATCCCTAATGGATTCCAATATTCTGGTCTACAATGTCAAACAAATGATTTTTTTTTTCTATATCATCATCTATAAAGTCAATACATCACCCAAAAACAACACCAAAGTTGCACTTTACTCGCTTTAATCTTCAATGGAGGTCATTCTTCTCCTTATTGCTTCCCTGCTCTTCTGTTTCATGGTAGTCAAATTTCTCAAGCACCCCTTGGGAAAAAATTCAGGGTTGAAACTTCCCCCCGGGCCTTATCCACTGCCTATGATAGGAAACATGCATCAACTTTTTGGCTCACCAATCCATCATTTGCTGAGAGACTTAGCTAAGAAATATGGAGCATTGATGCACCTAAAGCTTGGTGAAACTTCAACTATCATTGTCACTTCCCCGGAAATGGCCAGAGAGATCTACAGAACCAACGATATCATATTTGCTTCAAGACCCTCTCAGAGTCTCGCATTCAAGATCTTTTCTTTTAATTTTGCTGATCTGATATTTTCTCCCTACGGAAATTATTGGAGGCAATTACGAACAATCTGCACCATGGAACTTCTTAGTCAAAAACGCGTGTGAAGAAGCACGGAACTTCCCCTAGGAGAGCTGACCTGATCAGCTCGGGGTGTTGATGGGAGAGCTGACTCCAAACCTGCAAGACAGAAAGGATGAGCTAACTGAGGGGGCCCGAAGGTGGTCCCCGAGGGCACTCCGACGGTCAAGTTAGTTTTCCGGTGAGTGAGGTTCACGGGAAGTAGTAGCTGTCCGGAGTAAATTGTCAATAGTGAGCGTACCTTGTACAGTGGATGTGTGTTATTATTTATACCTTCAAGGGAGCCCGACCTCCGCACGACGCGGGACTTGCCCCGCATAGATGGTATCCCGCACTCAGGGGGATTACCCCCGACCTCTTCGGGGAGGACCTTCGCCTCCCCTGGGAGCCCTAGTCGGTACGGCCCGGGGCCGCTCCCAGGGGTCTGAGGGCCAAGGCCCAACTCGGCCATTCCTGGTCTGCCACGTGTCTGGGCTCAGAATGGGGCCTCTGCACTAGCCCCCTAGATTAGGTAGGACTGTCAGGCAGACCTAATCTACCTCCGCCACGTGGGAGGCCAGAGCCGCGCACTACTCTGCCGAGGTCACTTCTGGTACAGGGCTGTCACAGGGACGCTGCGCCCGCGTCCTTTCAGCTGTCCCGCCTCTTCGATTTTCGTGCCAGCATTAAATGCGTTCACATGGGGGTCGGTTCAAATTCATGCAACCGTTCTTCCTCCACCCTTCCCCCCATAAATAGGGGATGCCAAATTCTCCTCTGTCCCATTTGCCATTTCCGCTTCTTCTTGTGCATTTCAAGTTATCACTCCCCCTGTGCACCCACACTTCCGTCCCCCAGCAACTTCCGGCGTCCTGTGCCCAGATTCCGGCGAGCCTTCAGTCCTTCTCCTGCCGTCATCAGTAAGTCCTTTTTGCGATTCATCCTCCCTCTTTGCAGTGTCTCTTTTACCTTCTGCCGCCTCCCATTTTTTATGTCGGATCATTCCGGCGCCTCTTCCTCTGTTGCTATAATTTCCGTCCGCCGCAGAGCCCCCCGGATCACCGTTCTTTCCTCGCCTTCCCCCTCATCTTCATCACCATCTTCTCCTCCTCCCCCTTCCTCTTCTTCTTTCTCTAGCCCCAGCTTCCACACCTCAGACCTACTTGAGCCTACCGATACCATGAGTTCTCCTTCTGCCCACTCCCCTTCGGCCATCTCTATCTGGTGGTATCCCTTAAAAGCATCCAGGAAGCATAAAACATCAAAACCCACATTAGAGTCTACTAACCTGTCGATTCTAGGCAGGGGAAAGCAATCCTTCGGGCAGGCTTTGTTAAGATCCGTGAATTCTACGCACATCCTTCAGGTCTGGTCCTCCTTCTTGACTAGGATCAGATTGGCCAACCAGGTCGGGTAGTAGACCTCCAGGATGATCTTGGACTCCAACAGCTTGCCGACCTCCGCCTTGATCACCTCGCTCCTCTCAGGGGCGAAACTCCTTTTCTTCTGCTTTACCGGCTTGAAGCGAGGGTCGACGTCAAGGTGGTGGACTGCCAGGTCCGTTGGGATCCCAGACATGTCATCCACCGACCAAGCGAAGACCTGGGAGTACTCTCTTAGCAGAGCTTTCAAGTCCTCCTTCTCCCTGGCGGGCAACAAGGCTCCGATGCGGAGGACCTGGTTGGGCCGATCCTCCCTTAAGGGGAATTCCTCAGTCTCATCCTGGGTGCCCAACTGTTGGGTCTCGTCCCCTGGGATGTAGGGCTTCAGACAGGTTGTCTGGGCGACCACCTTTTCCGGCCCCCGGAGTGTGGCTAGGTAACAAGCCCTGGCTACCTCCGGGTCGCCGTGCACCTCGGCTATCCCTCCCGGGGTAGGGAACTTGACGCTGAGGTGGTAAGTGGAGGAAACAGCCCGGAGGGCGTTCAAAGCAGGCCTCCCCAGGAACACATTGTACGGGGACGGCTGCCTGACCACCACGAAGTTGACGGGAACAGTCCGGCATTTGGGAGCCTGTCCTACTTTGACCATCAGGGTGATCATCCCTTCCGAGCTGATGGGTGGTCCGGTAAATCCCACCAGAGGCGTCCGGACCGGGGTGAGCTGGTCATCCCTTAATCCGAGCTCCTTGAACACCCTGTAGAACATGATGTCGACCGCACTACCCTGGTCGACATATACCTTCTTCACCCGATAGTTGTTGGTGACAATGTCTATCACGATGGCCTCATGGTTCCCAGAAGCCAGGGGGACCGCATCCCTTGGCCCGAAGGTGATCTTCTCGTCCATGCGCAAGCGCTTCAAGGAATCGTCCCCTTCGGGGGGTAGTCGTTTGTTCTTCCGAACTGCATGGCTGTCCCCCCCTGTGGGACCTCCGGCAATGGTGTTTATCACCCCCGCCAGGTTCTGGGTGTCCTGGTCGGGAGAGTGGCCCCGAGGAGCGTCGCGCCGCTCTGGGCGGTCCCGACGCCGTCCCTCGTGCCTGTCTCCGTAGTGGCTGCGCCCGGGCTCCTGACCTGGTCGGCGCACGAACCGCCCTAAAAGGCCGCGCTGGATCAGGTCTTCTATCTCCTTACGCAGGGCCCAGCATCCCTCCGTGTCGTGTCTCACGTCGCGGTGAAAGGCGCAGTACCTGTCCTGGTTCCTTTTGTTTCGGGGCGTCCCCATTTTTGGCGGCCGATCTGCTAGTCCTTCCGCCTCCATAACGGCCAAGATCTGAGCTCTGGGCCGTGTTAGAGGGGTGTAGGTCTTCTCTGGGAGTGGCGGCAGAGCAGGTGCCTTCTCCTTCGAGAGCCGGTCGAAAGACGTTTTTCTTGGACGGGGCGTCCTTGTTCTCCGGGGGGTTTGTCCGACCTCTCCGATCCCCGAGCTCCCGATCTGACTCCTTCTTCAGGCGACCTGCCTCCTCCGCATTAGCAGCCTCGTGCGCCCTGCGAAGGAGCTCTTCCAGGTGCACGGGGGGCTTCTTGGCCAGGTCATAGAAAAACTCTTCTACCCTGAGCCCGTTCGTGAAGGCGGCCATCACCACTTTTTCATCCCTGTCCCTGACCTGCAAACTCTCCGCATTGAAGCGGGTCATGAAATTTTTCAGTGACTCGTCGGGCCTTTGCCTGATGGACATCAGGTGGGTTGCGTTCCTCGCGTAGACCTTCGAGGAGACGAACTGGGCCGCAAACTGCCGAGCAAGCTCGGGAAAGCTCCGTATAGACCCCGGTTTCAACCCCTGGAACCAGAGCCGCGCCTTCCCCTTTAGGAACATGGAGAAGGTCTTGCAGCGGACCTCATCCGCGGCGGTTTGCAGGCGCATATGCGTCAAGAAGACCGAGAGGTGGTCCTCTGGGTCCGTAGAGGCATCGTACATCTCGATGCTCGGAATCTTAAACCTCCGGGGTAGGGGGTAGTCCTCTATCTCCCGGGTAAAAGGCGAGGTTGCATAGTTGTCCTCGTATGGCCGGGGCCTCAAGATCTGCTCGAGCTCATCCCGAGCAGGGTCCAGATAAAGGGGGCCGCGGGGCCGGCTCTTGACAGACCGAGCCGGGGAACGCTCGAACCCATTCCGTGTGGGCTTCCTCGGAGAGGGGTCTCTGGGATGGCTCCTCGCGGACCTGTCGCGGGAATACCTCTCGCTGTCCCCGACCACCGAGGCTCGGGGGCGGGGAGGAGTCCGGGGGCGCTTCCTCCTAGGGGGTTGGTCCCGCGACTCGTCCTCCGAAGGATCAGGGGGTAACTCCTTCTCCTTCCCCTTGGCCTTGGAGGTCTGCGCACCCCCAGCCCCCTCTCCCTCTTTCGCCTGACGGATTATATCCTCCAGCATGGGGAGGTTCTCCGTCACAAACTGGAAGATCTGCTGCCTCCGCTCCCCTGAAAGGGCTGAGCCCCCGGCGCCCTGGGACGCCCCAGCCTCTTTCTGCGGGAACCCCTCACCGCCCCCAGGGCCGGTGCTCTCTGCCGTGCGCTTGGATCGCGTCCTGGCCATCAACACAATCTTACTCACCTTACGGTTCCCACAGACGGCGCCAACTGAAGAAGCACGGAACTTCCCCTAGGAGAGCTGACCTGATCAGCTCGGGGTGTTGATGGGAGAGCTGACTCCAAGCCTGCAAGACAGAAAGGATGAGCTAACTGAGGGGGCCCGAGGGTGGTCCCCGAGGGCACTCCGACGGTCAAGTTAGTTTTCCGGTGAGTGAGGTTCACGGGAAGTAGTAGCTGTCCGGAGTAAATTGTCAATAGTGAGCGTACCTTGTACAGTGGATGTGTGTTATTATTTATACCTTCAAGGGAGCCCGACCTCCGCACGACGCGGGACTTGCCCCGCATAAATGGTATCCCGCACTCAGGGGGATTACCCCCGACCTCTTCGGGGAGGACCTTCGCCTCCCCTGGGAGCCCTAGTCGGTACGGCCCGGGGCCGCTCCCAGGGGTCTGAGGGCCAAGGCCCAGCTCGGCCATTCCTGGGCTGCCACGTGTCTGGGCCCAGAATGGGGCCTCTGCAGCGTGCAAAGTTTCAAATCAATCAGACAAGATGAGGCATTCAATCTCATTAAATCAATTTCTCTACAGAAGGGATCGACCATCAATCTAAGCAGAAGCATTGTCTCTCTCACTTATAGCTTCACCAGCCGGGCAGCATTTGGAATAAGAAACGATTTAGAGACAGAAAGATTCATTCAACTTATAGATGAGCTCAATGGGATGGCATCAGAGTTCAGCTTAGCTGACATGTATCCTTCAATCAAGTTGCTTCAAATGATGAGTACGCTGAGATTTAAGGTGGAGAAACTACACAAGCAAATTGATGAAATACTTGTAAATATTGTCAATGAGCACAAAGGAAAAATCAAAGAGACAAAACAAGAAGGTGCAGAAGGCAAGGAAGATCTTGTTGACGTTCTTCTCAATATTCAGAAACGTGGAGACTTTGAACCTCAACTGGCTGATACAAGCATCAGAGCAGTTATCCTTGTAAGTACAACTAAACTCACTAATCTTTCGAGCTTTGCTCCTCAGAGAAAATTCTGTAGTTCTTTCTAGGATTAAAGGGAAAAATTATGAATCCCGTATCTTTTTTTTTTAAATTTAATTATCGCTCTAATCTGGGGGATGACAAAGATTTTGGATATAGTATAACTATATCAGTGAGTTGTGATAACCTTTGATAGCCAAATTTTAACAGCATTAATGTGAAGTTTGAACTTTTTTCCTAAACTAGAATTAATACATAGTGGTTGCCGGTTTTGCAAACAGAATACCTTCCTTAACTAGCTGAAAAATCAATATTGAACAATCCTTCAGGTACCAAACTCTAGAATAAGGAGAAACCACGAAGAGAAAAAGAAAATTAACAAAAAAAAAAAGGAAACCGGTATGATGCATATCCAATTGGTGATGTGGAAGTAATATGTTATTGTAATTAAGAAGTGGGTGGTAGTATTCTAAATAAGTTCAACAATTTGAATTAGTCAAATTCAAGATTAAGACGGTAAAGGATCCAAACCAAAAGTCAATTAAATCCAGCAAAGATACATACCCTATTTATCGTTGTCACGGTCCAAGACGATGGAGGCCCAACTAAGTCTATGGGAGAATCGATGGGGACAAAATTACCACCGAACAGAATCACCGATCTGAATTTTTTGAAAAACCACATAATGTGACAATTTGGCCAAGGTTTGAATCCCTGCCTTCTACCCTACTAACACCTTAAAGGCTTGGTGGTGGCCACCAGTCTTGGATAAAATCAGATGATGAATTCACTTATTGTAATATCTTATTGTAATCAAGAAGTGGTTGAAAGCATTCTAGATAGTTTTGTGCGGAGGTTCAACAATTTGGATTAGTCAAATTCAAGATTAAAGAAGGTAAAGGATCCAAACCAAAAGTCAAATAAATCCAGCGAAGATACATACCATATTTATGGTTGTCACACAGTCCAAGAGGCCGGCCGAGATTTATTTATCAAAATTTAGGGAATCTAAAATAGTCCAATGTCACTGATGATGGTTTTTTTTTTCAGTCAAGCATCAGATGATGGTTTTTTTTTTTTTGGGATAAAATCAGATGATGAATTCACTTAGAGATCTGAAAGTAGAATATGTAATTTCCATTAATATTCATGTGTTTCAGGACATTTTTAGTGCTGGTAGTGAGACTTCATCAACAGCCATGGAGTGGGCAATTTCTGAGATGATTAAAAACCCAGAAATAATGAAAAGGGCGCAACAGGAGGTGAGAAATTTCTACAATGACAAAGGAAATGTTGATGAATCACGCCTTCATGAGCTCAAATACTTGCATGCAATCATCAAAGAGACCTTGAGACTACACCCAAGTGCTCCGCTTTTGTTGCCAAGAGAATGTGGTCAGGAATGCAAAATCAATGGTTATGACATACCAGCAAAGGCACAAATAATTGTCAATGCATGGGCAATTGGCAGAGATTCCAATTACTGGAGTGAAGCTGAGAAGTTTAATCCTTCGCGATTTCTTGATTCAGAAATCGATTACAAAGGGAATAATTTTGAATACATCCCATTTGGTGCTGGAAGAAGGATTTGTCCCGGCATATCATTTTCTCAAGCAGTTATTGAGCTGGTACTTGCACAGTTGTTGTTCCATTTTGATTGGAAGCTCCCTGGTGATCTGAAACCGGAAGAATTTGACATGGCTGAGAAACTTGGAAGGACAATTAGGCCACAAAATGATCTCCTCCTGATTCCAATTCCTTACAGTGCTTCTTGTTTGACATAATTTGACTCTATAAGGATGCCTAGGTTATGCATATATCTGCCATCACATTCATGCTAGAGAGCTACATATGGTCAAGTTCTCGAGATTTGTATAATTAAGTTTAAAATTTCGTAATATTTCCCTTTTGCACATTATTTGCACCCCTTCAATCTTGTAGAAGCACCGATTTGCCTCCTCTATTCTTAAAATTTTGTAAAATGCCTTCAATCTTGTAGCCTTTAAAATCTACAAAATTCAGACGTTTATTTTGATTTTCTTCTTAAAATTTAAAATTTATCTTATCCATTAAGAAAAAACCATATAGATTCATTTTATAGACAATAAAACAATACAAACATTGTTATAGCTTAAACTCCAATATGTTATTCATTATAAATCCAAAGCAATGATTTAAATATAAACAGGATTTGGTTGTGGAGAATCAGACTAATTTATATTTTTGTTAGTGTTTCATTGTGCTTAATTTTTGTGAGGGTAAGATGGGTACACAGTCAGGAAGGCTATAGCTGCAAATGCAGCACCTAGAGAGGATCATACAAACTTTTCTTGGTGAATGGTGCAAATCGGAAAACTAATGAAGTTATAACTATAGCATGTCGATGCTGTTAAATGACAATATGCAGTGGCCCTTAAATCTTAATAGACAAAATGGGATTGCTTCTTTAAGTATATGGGCAATTCTTGATTATTTGGTACACCATCACCACCGTGAAAATACATAATTATTTGAGTCCTCAATCTAATTTAAAAAATAAAACATGAATAACAGGATCAATTATGAAAAATTTACCTACTATAACCTGATATTGTAAAAGAAGAACCTGTTGCATTGCGTGGATATAATATAACTAGGCTAAAATCAGATTGGCTTGCTAACAAATGGATGCACTAATTCGCCTTTTTTTTTTTTTTTTCAGATGGAGGGGTATCCGGGTCACTGGGTAAACCGAACCCGACTAATCTCTCCTGGCTCGAGAGGAGAGGCCCCGTCCCCTCGAGCACGTTAACTCTGGGACTCGATCCCTGGTGGAAAAGATGGACAACGGCCGCTAATGAGTTTTCATGACCAAACGAGCTGTCCAGGAGGGGCGGATGCATTAATTTGCTTGCTCTTGGTTTTTCCCCCCCAATATTCAAGTAACGATTCACATATCAAGTTTCCAGACAAGCTTTTACTGCATGTACTTTATACTACCAATGTTAGCATAATTATCTGTTTCTTAAGCTAGCTTTTTTGATGGATTAAAGAATTGGATAATGAAAATCATTGGATCAATTCATTTATACCTATTTAATTAAAAATGTATAAATGAATAAATAAAAAATTGAGTCAAATAATTCAATTATTTATTTAGAGCCCATTTATTTTAACTTGTTACCAACTCTTTCCAGTGGGATGGCTGGCGTTGAAGTTGATCAATTGGATGCATTTCCATTGCTTTGCTGGCTAAGACATTGCCACTTGATATGGGTGCTGTGACATAAAAAGGAAAAAACAATCTTCTCACATAAAAAGTAAAAAACAATCTTCTCAATTAATTTTTAAACTTAATTACCAATGTATAGCAGTCTTTAGATCCTATTACTAGATGTGAATATTTACATATAACACCATAGGGTCTGAAAGAGCACTAGGGTCTGAAAGAGCGAATCACAAGAGCCTTTGAAAATCCCCAATCAATACTTGGCTTGCAAGTAATATCAGTCGAAAACATTGACTTGATTTTGCTAAAAATGGAACTCCAGTTATCTGGTAATTCAAACATTGACTTGATTTTGCTAAAAATGGAACTCCAGTTATCTGGTAATTCTAAGCCGCCAATACTTGGCTTGCAAGTAATATCAGTTGAAAACATTTGACTTGATGATGCTAAAATAGGAGTTCCAATTGTCTTTGCCTACCAAATTGTAGTATAAAAATAGACACTTCGCTAAGCAAACAACATCCCATTGCAGTTTTCTCCCTCCAGCCTGCAATGGAGGTCATTCTTTTCCTTTTGGCTTTCCTACTCTTCTATTTCATGGTAGCCAAAATTCTTAAAAGCTCCTCGGGAAAAAACTCAAGATTGAGGCTTCCCCCGGGGCCTAATCCACTGCCTATCATAGGAAATATGCATCAACTTTTTGGCTCCCCATTCCATCACTTGCTCAGAGACTTGGCCAAAAAATATGGACCGTTGATGCACCTAAAGCTTGGTGAAATGCCTACCATCATTGTCACGTCCCCTGAAATGGCCAAAGAGATTTATAGAACAAACGATGTCATATTTGCTTCAAGACCCTCTCATCGTGTCACATTCAAGATTTTTTCCTACAATCATAACGATATTATCTTTTCTCCCTATGGAAATTATTGGAGACAACTTCGGAAGATTTGCACCACGGAAGTTCTTAGTCCAAAACGGGTGCAAACTTTCAAAGCAGTTAGGGAAGATGAAGTTTTTGATCTCATCAAATCGATCTCTTTGCAAAAGGGATCGACTATCAATCTAAGCAGAAGGATTTTCTCTCTCACTTATAGCATCACAAGCCTGGCAGCCTTCGGGAAAAGAAACAAAGACAGAGAAAGATTCTTGCACTTTGTCGATGAACTCAATGGGCTGGCATCTTTGTTCTGCTTAGCTGACATGTATCCTTCAGTCAAGTTTCTTCAATTGACGAGTACAGTTAGGTCAAGTTATGAGAAAATACACAAGCAAGTAGATGAAATACTTGAAAATATTCTCGATGAGCATAAAGGGAAAATCCAAGAATCAAAACAGGAAGGTGAAGAAGGCAAGGAGGATCTTGTCGATGTTCTTCTCAATATTCAGAAACGTGGGGACTTCGAGCCTCAACTAACTGATACAAACATCAAAGCTGTTATCCTGGTAAGCGAAACTCAAACTCGCTAGGTTTTTAAGCTTTGCACCTTGACAAAATTTTGTAATTGTTTCTAGGATTAAAGGGACAAAACATGTATATTATTGATTTATCAGTTCAATTTTGGGGATGGTGATGATTTGGGATCTGATAACCTTTTAGCGATTTGAGATACCCTGTAATAAACAAATTTTGACAGTATTAGTTTCAAGTTTGAACCTCTTCCCTAGGATTGAACATGAGACTTAAACAGTGGCGGGTTATGTGAACAAAATTATGATTTTCTTAGCTAGCCGACAAATTGGTCCTATTTCTTGGTACTAAATTTAGTTCTGTTATGATAGAATGATTGTTATACAGATTAGCAGCAGTCTCAAAGTTGAATTCTATTCAATTCAAATCAGTTCATGTAATAATTATGCCTTTTGGTATAAACGTATATATACAACTTGGATGTGAATTTAACCTTATCAGCTCATACGACGAAGTTGGCTATCAGACCAAAACTGTACAAAACTACATCAAATGGAGTAAAAATTGTATGAGCGAACAAAATTCAACTTAGGAATATTACCCAAAAAAAAATTAAAGAACTACATTCATAAGTTTATGATGTTGGACGACAAAACAGGATATAAACCAAAAGTCCAACAAAATCGAGCTTAATTACATACCATATATGATTATCGTCAAATGGTCCAAGAGAACATCCGAGATTTTTTTTTATCCAAATTAAGCAATTCAAACTAATCCAATGCCGCTTAATTTGAAGTTATTTTGGTCAAACATCAGACGATGAATTAATTTAGATATCTGAAAGAAAAAATTGTAGTTTTCATTGATATACGTTCCTATTCATGTTTCAGGATGTTTTCAGTGCTGGCAGTGAGACTACATCAACAGCCATCGAGTGGGCAATTTCTGAAATGGTTAAAAACCCAGAAATAATAAACAGGGCACAATGTGAGGTAAGAAGTTTATATAATGACAAAGGAAATGTCGATGAATCACGCCTTCATGAGCTCAAATATTTGCACGCAATCATCAAAGAGACCTTGAGACTACATCCAAATGCTCCACTTTTGTTGCCAAGAGAATGCACTGAAGAATGCAGAATCAATGGTTATGACATACCAGCCAAGGCACAAGTAATTGTGAATGCATGGGCAATTGGTAGAGATCCATTATACTGGAGTGAAGCTGAGAAATTCAATCCTTTGCGATTTCTTGATTCTAAAATTGATTACAAAAGCAATAACTTTGAATACATCCCATTTGGTGCTGGAAGAAGGATTTGTCCAGGCATATCATTTTCTCAAGCAGTAGTTCAGCTGGTACTTGCACAGCTGTTGTTCCACTTTGATTGGAAGCTCCCTGGTGACCTGAAACCAGAAGAACTAGACATGGCTGATAACCTTGGCGTGACAATTAGGAGAAAAAATGATCTCCACTTGATTCCAATTCCTTATCTTGGTTCTTGTTTAATAAAGGATGACTAGGCTTTGCAGGGATGCCTAAATTATGCTAATACTTGTCATCCCGTCTATGATACTACTTTATAATTTTACCTTGATTATGTACCTAAAATAAAGATTTTATGAATTTATTACTTTCTGTACTCTAAAATCTGCCATGCACTTGCCTCACTTCACAGTGTTTGCCAACGGATCTTCTGTCCCGCACCCTATGCCATTCTCTGTCCCACTCTTTATTATATTGCAATTCCTTCTACATAAATATCATTTTTTAGTTCTTTTTGTTTCTTTAAGATCCAATAACTATTTACTGAGTAATACAAAAAATTTAACAAACTCAAAAAATCAAAATTCATAAAAAAATGAGATTTTTTATGAATTTTTGCTGTATTTTTTAATTTTCTACTATATATATTGCTTTTTTGAAGCTGTTGTATTTATTTAACCAAACTAGTGCTAGTTGATGAGAGTTACTTCGGAAACAGAAAAAGTAAAGTCAAAAAAATTTGAAGTATTCTCTCAATTCTAATAAAATGTAATCGGATCAAGTATGAGTTTGTGATCAGAGCGTCGTATATGGATAGAACTTATAAAGGGGTCTCGAAAAATAAGTAATTTCTGTTGGGCCTTTATCCTTTTTGTAGGTTCAGTAGGATTCTTATT